GAACAAACCTGCTTCGACGTTGCATAATGAAGGTTCTCGTGATTGTGAATATTTGGGCCTGTGTAATGACAGAAATGGTAAAAACACATCAAACACAGTCGAGTGATCAGAGCCGCTCCTCTTTGCTGATTGGCTGTTTCATACGCAGTAATGCTGGGATGGACTCTGATCGTCGGTTCGTCCTTGCTCTGCGTGCACTGATGCTGTTGAGGTGCCTCAGAGGTTTCCTATCATATCTTATAAACACATTTTAATTTGAAATAAGAAAAAGTGTGAGATATCTTATTATTATTATTCTTTAGAAAAATCAGAAGCTAATGTAGACGTGAGGGTTGAGTTTAGCCCTGCGGGCTCCGCCTGCAGCACGGTCAGAGCCCACATGTGACAGCTGACGTCGACTTGTTTCTTTGAAACTTATGAAGTTGCTTAAGATTGTTCACAACCAACAAAGTGCATCAAACACAAAACTTGTGCAGCTGCTAAAACTCTTTGTCACAGCTGCATCTTCATCAGTGAAGCGTCAGAGACGGGAGGAAGACTTTAGCAGAGCCTGAAATCGTTTCCCTTCCGATAGCCGACAGTTCCTGGAAGTTCTGTGAGCAGCTGAACATCCGCAGCAGCTTCTCCCTGACAAACTTCCTTCATCGTGCCGTGCAGTCACTCTGTGCTTGCACCGACCTGCAGGTGTTTCCTTGTTTTCCAAGATGTTAGAAAATAAGAGACGTCAGGAGCTGCTGACCCACACCAGGGTCGACGTCACGTCTCTGAACTCTGGACGCAGAGATCTCGTTGCCTTTGATTTGATTTCAGTGCCACACATGAAATCAGGTTAATGCTGCACAGACTGACTTACAGCATCAGGCTGCCATTAAATAAAGTTTCATTCTGTCATCATCAGTGCAGCGAGTTCAGGAGATTTATACAGAGACGTTATGAATTTATACAGAAACAATGAAAGAACGTGTTTTGATCTCGTTCCTCTGGTTGGAAACCACAGCTTCAACGTTGTGTCTGAGCCCAACATCCAAGCACATCCTCAGAACGTGTTAGAGAGCACGGCGCAGTATTGTCCAAGGATGCGTTCCTATCGTGTGGCTGCAGACTCTTTACTAAAGGTCAGGGATAAATCCTGCAACGCTGTTCTCTCTCCAACCCTCAGAGCGGAGCCAACGCCATCTACTACGCGGCGAGACACGGCCACGTGGCGACCCTGAGATTCCTCCATGACAAGAAATGCCCGCTGGATGTGCAAGATAAGGTAGAAAAGCAGGTCCTTCCTCTCTGCACGTCTCACACTCACATGGAAAAACACACACTTACTACGACTCATCGTGCTCTGTTATCTGTCAGCAATTACTCACTGCCTCCTACCCACAAACCCCTCGAGAAGCATTACTTTG